TCCTGGCTGAACCCAGCACAGGGAATAAGAACAGAGGAGCAGCCTCTGCCTGACTGCCGCAGCAGCTCCGGTGCGCAGCCGCTCCCGGGCTACCCTGGACCACTCAGTTCACTCTGTAGCTGCAGGCAGACACTGAATCCATCTACATTCCCACTGTATGTCTCCAGCTGCGTCCAGTGTTTAGGAAAGCTTTTCAGCAGGCTTTTCACCAGTCACCATCCTTGAGGATTCCGCCATCAAACAATCCTCTCTGAGAAACAAGCATTTCAAGACCTATAAATGTACATCATTGCATGCCAGACCAACCCCCTCGAGACAGGATCTGCTCATTCCATCCTGTAAAATGTCCCTGGCTTTAGAAACGGTTCAACTCCTGGGCAGACGGGGAAATTGTAGTATTTGAGCAGTGGAGACTCTTCTGGCAGGAACTGCCATGCCTCAGTTTCCTGAGGACTGGAAATCACCATGCGGTATCTCCCTCCTTTTCACTCGGCTCTCCAGCAGAAACACTCTCTCGCAGAGAGGACCAACTCCCCAACACCACAGCACCCTCAGAACCCGAGGCACACTGCTGCAAGGAAACACCTGCCCCACGTCTCCCTCCCACTGCCGTCCCAGGCGACGCGAGGCACCTTCACAGCACCTGTCCAGCTGTGTGCCGACAGCGAAGCCATCGGCCCCCGCGCGCAGGGGAGCTGGAGCCCAGCACAGCCGAACGCTGCCGGCGAGCAGCGCTTCACCGGCGTCGATCACCGAGCGGCACTCGCTGCCCACAGCGCCCTCACAACCCCATTAACGGGGTCTTGCAGTGGGTACAGCACGAGGAGTAAAACCCCAGGGTCTGTCTCCCTGGCGCAGGCCAGTAAATGCTGCTCCCTGTTCAGTGTCACTCACAAACGTGGATTTAACTGGATTTGAACAACTGACGGGAGACTTACCTATGCAGTACAAGATGCCTTCACATAAGCTACGTCAAATCCTCCGAAGCCGGGGGGTGTCCACACAACTCAGTACAGCGTAAACCCCCACCAAGAGAAACAAACCCCAGAACCCACTCTGCACCAGTGCAGCGCTCTGCAGATTAATTACCTCAAAGCCTGCTATTTGAGACTGAAGCGCTCCCAAAAATAGCTGGTTTTAAGTAAATGCTTCTGTCGATATCGCAGAGTAGACAAGACCCTCCAGATTTCACCAGACTCCACCCCTGACACTGCACGTAGCTTTGCAGCTGCTGCACAGCAAACCCACCCTTGACTTCAGGGTGGGCTGCGCTGCTCAGCGCAAACCACACGACTGCACTTTTCCTGGCGCTGTGGCATTCCCTGTATGCCTGTGTGCAGGAGGCATTCCCTGGTATGCAGCAGGTGGAATGTGCAGGGCCGCAGGAAACACCAATGGAACCTAACGCCGACAAACAGCAAAATAATCCAAGTGCCGTGAGAGGTTTCGGTGCTACGGACTTGCTGCTGCTGCTCTCTCGTTTGGGAGGAGCTGGAAAGCTGATGGGATTTATGTTTTCTAGTGCAACAAACAACTTCACGGGCAGGTAATGTTGTCCCAGCCGTTTTTTATGAGGCAACCGCAACCTCAGGGTGCCGTTTCACCAGCTGTCCTAACCCAATTTAGCTGCCCGACACTACTGCAAAGCTGAGGTCCTGCTCCCGGCTACCCCTTCATCCCTTTGCTACCGCAGCCACTCCATCCTCTTAGATCCCATCATGTTGCCACTTACCTTTTGCCAAATTTAGCACATACCTGATTGCACAATAATCCAATTCATCTCACTGCAGCAGCAGAAAAATAGCCTGGCTTAAAAAGAGTACGCTGCCATTCGAGTGAGCTGAATTAGCTTACCATGTGATTAAATGAGTGCCAGAGCTAGCACAAGAGATTTGGAAGGCAGGAGGGGAGGAGGAAAGCTCCTTTTCGGAACAGTAAACTGAGAATTCAGTTCAACCAGCACAAAAAAAAACCCAGAACACACCTTCAAGCCAACTGGACGCCCGCCAGCTTTGCCCATCTCACCATCCTAACTGGCAAGCATCAAAGAGATCAAAGACAACCAGCTACTGTGAGCTGTCTCACAACAAAGCATTTGATCATCTGAACCGAAAAACAAGATGATGCACAGCAAAAATTAACCAGGTTAAGATCAAGTTATGATTCATGAACAACCACCGTCTGCACACATCTTGAACTAAACCGGCGACTCACCCCACACCATGCAAGTGCCGAAAACCCTTCATGAGTGTGCGAGCGCTTCCCTGGAAGCTTTCACAAACCAGAAAAACAGGTGCCCAAACACCACCCTGGCACGTTGTTCTCAGGGAGTCTACCACGCAGCGTTACACCTCAGCAAGCCATTACTACTAACAATGCCACCAATCATCCCCAGGTGACTGGATGTGTCAGAACAGGCACAAACCGGCAGTGAAATCCCTTAATTCACATACTCACCATCCATAAGGAGCCAGTGGCCAGTTAGGACCCAGATAAGGACAAGCATCACAGACAGAGAAAACGAGAGCAACTCAGCAGCAGTGAAACGCCCGCAGCAGCCAAAGGAAATCCTAGGAACAACATACAAACATTACCTAGAAGACTTTACACTTCCATTTAAAGAACAGAAAATGGACACTTGGAAAAAGGCTCAACTGCTGATGAAAGATGCCAAGAACAACTGAAAGGAAGTTCCTTTGCCACAAATAGGTACCAAAACAGCAACAAAATAAAAGCTTTCCTCACATTCACATCATGTGCGTAAGGCCTGACCTACAGAGATGCAAAAAACACTGTAAATCCTGGCACCTCTCCTGAAATTGCTACCATTAATGCTATTCCCTGCTATCATCCAAGACAGGGCTTTTTGCAACACGAACGCCAGTCACAAGGTTAAAAAAAAAAGAAAATGAGTTCCAAAACATGATGTTAAGAACTGTGATTTTCACTAGCGTAACTACTGTCTCTGCAACAGCCAGCATGAAAATCCACAGTGCAGTGTTAACAAACATTAAAACCCAACACCAAATCCCAGACTCTGACATCTCAGCCAAAGTAAGCCAAACGTGTTAAAAGCCGCTGTCGGGAAATCCAGCTCCCTGCCACAGCACCGTGTTCCCCAGGCTGGCAGGCTTGGTGGCATGCAGAAATTATGCTTCCTGCTTCCAAAGTGGAAACGTGGTGTTGGCACCAAAAATATGCCCAAACATCAGCCCTGAGCTTAATGCTCGTAACCGAAGAGTCTGTTGAAGGATTCTCATTAAAAGAAATAAATACAACACACCAGAGCAAAAGATTTCTCAAGTCCTTACTTGTTTTGAGGTGAACAAGGCCGTGTTAAGTACTGGCACATCGGGAGCAGAAGGAAAGCGAAAGCTATTGTTGCAAGGACTAGAAAAAGAAGAAAAGGTAGTATTAGTACATTCAGATCTAATTTCTACGGTACACAAACAAGCTTCTCCAATTCAAAAAAGCTCTTGCAACAATGTCCTAGTATCACACGCTGCGGTATTACTAAAGCAGGAGCCGCTCAAGTCTCCAAGGATTTCGGCAGAACTTCAATTGTTAGCGTGCTTTCAAACTTCCATCAAAATAAAAGGAGGGAACGTTCTCACAGGAATGCAACGCCCCAGCCCTAAACCTTAAAAAAAAAAATAAGTCAAAGCTATTCACGATCATGTCAGCAAGAAAAACAGTCTTCAAATATTCTGACAAGAAAAACCCAAACCCCAACTTACTACAAACTGCTTGTGAGATTCTTTTGAAATTCTTCAGCATACGACACTGACTATGTCAGCATAATAAAGGGGTTTTTCACTTTTTAACTCAGCTTTTTTCCCCATCTCACTCAAAGCCCTTTATTCATTACTGAAACGCAGCACAGCTTAAGCTATATCCTAGCTGGAGACTCAAATCTGTTAATACAAAGTGATTTAAGTTTTTGAGAACAGGATGGTAAAAATACATACATATCCAAATAGACTAGTTCCATAAACATGTTCTTTTTTAAGGAGCATACTTATCCCACCCACGCATTCGTAAAAATGCTCAGTAACTGCTGGTGCTTCTAATCGTTTCTCCTGCCAGTGTTTTCAGAAAGAACAGCACCGAGGACTGTTTCAAACGCCGGCGAGCGCGGGCGTGGGGACGCCGACATGTCAGCACCGCGCGCCCCAACAGCCTGCAACAAAAATGGAAGCGTGTCTCGACATTTTCTGCAGGCTGCAGACCGCTTGTGCTGTTCTCTACTCCTTCCTCATAAACTGGGGGTGGTGGTTGTTAGGTTTTAAAAGTGTTTTTTTTTCCCCCTCTCCTCTCAAATGAAGATGGTGGGAAGGAATCAAACATTCTCCTTAGCACACAGCTCAAGCCAACTGGAGAAAAGAAATGGATTTGGTCAAACCACATCTTTTCACCCCTCAATTCTGCAGGATTTTTTTTTTTAAAGAAGATCAATTTTAGAATAAAAAGTGTCTGTGTGCAAACAGCACCGTGGGAACTCGCAGTCCTATCAGAGAGCAGGACACCAAGCAGGACGGGTAGGGAAGGGCTGAAGGGTGGCACCTCTGCACACGCGGAACGAGGAACCTTTTCAGAGGTGCCTGGCAAAGAACACTGCGCAGCAAGGCCTGCGCCCTTCCCCACTCCAGACGGACCCTCTCGGCCCCTGGAAGTTCTCCTCCTCCTTCCTCCCCTCCAGCTCTTCCCCACACCTCCTGTCCTGGTATTTCCAACCACTGCCACCCCGGAGCTGGGCTCAGTGTCAGAGTTCAAATGTAATCACACTAACACACCGTGCCCACGAGCACCCACTCCCAGTCCTTATTATTCAGCCGGCAATCCCTTGGCTCAACTCCTGTCTGCAGGCAGCACGCCAGCTCTTCAGCTCTGCCCTCTGCTTCGCAGCTCTCCCGGCCTCTCCCGTTTGCTGTACCTGCCCTGGAAGGCCAGTCTGTGTCCCCACGTCAGCCTCTCCAACCTACAAACAGACGCCGTAACGTGGCGCTACTTGAGCTTCAGGGGACAGGGGACCAAGTCCCACAGCTCCAAGTTCCCACCTCCTGCTATACAGCCTCTAACGAAGCTTTGCATTTCAGAGGTTCTGGGGCCAAAGTCCCCTGTCCTCAATGCCACCCTCTGATGCAAGGCCAAGGGAAAGCACAAAAGTGTCTTGAAACCAGCTTCAAGAATAAAGACACCCAAGCGCACTAATCCAGACAGAGTCAATCCTCTTAAACCTGCAGCGGGCCCCAGCTGACCAAACATCGTCCAGTTACGCACCACAAATGTTCCAGATACAGCTACAAATATCAAGGTCATTCTGGAAATAAATGGGCCAATTAGCTTGACCAAACTTTGGTTTTAATCATAAATCTTCCCTTGTAATACCTTACACACATGTGTGTATATATACTCCCCTAATATCTAGCTTGTATTAGAATGTATATGAAGGAATGATTTATTTTTAATATGGAATAACCTACGTGTCATAGGGCAACGTTAAGATATTCAACACACCCCTACAGGGCCAGAATCCGAGACAGGAGCCTCAAGACTCGTGTCAAGAGCAGAGATTTAGATTTCACCCATCAACATCAGCCCTGTTTAAGAGGCTGCAGAGGACACACTCCTGGCTCAGGAGTCAGATCACGAGGGAGATGCCTGCATCGCATACACACAACGTCAGAGAGGATGAGGGGTATTCAGGGGTTTAAAAATCTTCATGGCCTCAGTATATGGACTGAGGGGAACAGTTTTTAAAGCTGCTGCAAATGTGGAGCAGCAGGAAGAATCTTGCTACCCTGAATGGCAGCCAGTCTCTTGAAGAACTGCAAAAAAAAAATTAAAAGGCCAAAATTTTCCAAAATACAAGCCCCTGGTATTTACTTAAATGTCAAAATGTAAATAGCAATAAAGAGGATCAGAGGACTTGCCATTTATTTGCGGACAACCATTTGATTTTTGTTCTAAATTCCAGCAGTGCAACAGAATACTCCTGAGTATTCTGTAACATAACAAAATGCTCCTGAGACCAGAAGTACCCTTGAAAGAAAGAAAAACTGCACAAAAGCAAAAACCAGAATTAAACCAGGAAAAGAAGCCTCTGGGTAGGATCTCCAGAACTATGCTGTGATCCCATAAAGTACCTGAACTACAAAATCCCATGTAGAGTTCTGGGCACTGGTTTATAAACAAGAGAACTCTAGGTAAAACAATACATCTGGCATCTTTCCAAACTCTGGCAATTTATAGTTTAGTAGGTTTAGCAAATCTAAGTGGAAAATACCTCTTCAATAATACTTGTCACTTATTAATAGCTGCAGAGACATGAAAATACAACTGTGAAACCCAACGAGGTTTGGTTTTTTAAAGTGTACTTTGACATGTATTGTGATTCTTATCAACAATATTTAATCATAAGAACGCTTTCTGTTCTATTCCAATTCTTATAAAGAGAAGAAAACTTAGTCACCTGCTGTGCATATTGTAAAGACAACTTGAACTGAATCAAAGAAGAAGAACATAACTAGGAGAGAGACAGACGCTCCGATCGGCAGGAACAAGGCCTGGGTGGAATCAATGGTTTGAATACCTGCAGAAGAGAGAGAGCGACGTTTAACTTCCACGCACGTACCGACACCCCGTCCTCGCCGACGCAGCTGAGGTCAGTACTGTGATCCCATCTCAGCGCCGGTGCAACGGACGTTCACTCCGAGGTCCTCGGGTGGTACCATAACCAAGCAGTCTGTGCAAACCACTCCAGCTAAGGCGCACGGCCGCGGTGGCTGGGGGTGTGCACCAGGAGTCCTGCTTGCACAGCCCAAGAATTGAAGGCTCAAGGAAAGTGTACGGGTTTTTTTCTTGTGCCACGGATAGAATGAATAACAAGTTACAAAAATTAACATGACTTAGGGATTAGGAATCATACAGCAATTATCTCTCTGCTTCAATTTACACTGTTTACACGGCCGTGTTGAACAGAGCGCAGGGGAGCTGTGTTTAACCCCTGCGCAGGAGGTAAAGGGCCTGGCCCAGAGCAGAGCTGCAGGCAGCGTTCGGCTGAGCGAGCTCCTGCAAAGGCTGCCACGGCTTCAAATTCCACTTGGGCGAAGGCCACCGTGCACTTACATTGCATCACTGATTGCACTCACCAGATAACACCAAGCCTAACAATAAAGGGCAGTTTTCAAGAAACATCCTGGCCATGTACCTGTTTATGACACTACCAGCTCAGTTCAGCCTGCACTGCCATCGCCTTTTCTGCTGCAAACCAACAAAAATCCATGCTCACGTTCCAGAGCTGGAAGTGATTAAGCAGTACAGAGATACTGGTGTGGTTTATTCTGATTATTTCCCTCACCTCAACCATGCAGTGTGACTCCTGGGGATATTAACAGTGGGGCAAAACATTTTTTACTACATTTTACCACAAGTTCTTAGAATTAGTAACAAAATTGAGAAGATCAGGCTCTGAAAAGTCCACCTATCCCCGCAAATCCTAATACTTAGCCAGTCTCTGTAGCTGTATTTACATTTGATTGCGAGGGGGGGCGGGGGGAGCCACAAGTAATAACCCATTAAAAATGGGTACATGTAGAGCATTAGAACAGCAGGTAACATCTGAAGTAGCCACTTGGTAAGAAGTGTCCAAATTGTCTCTAACAAAAAATTCATGCAAGACTCAGACCTAGATGAGATTTAAAACCAGCTTAACATCACTGTGTTATCTCAAAATAATTAGTACGAAGCAGGGATTCACCAGCCCCAGGATTGTAAGGATAAGCTTTTAGGTTATCAAGCAGAATCTGTGTGTGTGTGTGCTCGTACACACAGACATTTTGTGTGAGAGAACGTACCTGTGTTATTTTTTCCTGTGGAAGAGTGGCAACCTGTCTAAGTGAGGGGTTACCTACACAGCTCACAGTTACCACGTACCCGAACACGTGGAAAAACCTCAAACACACGTGACATATAGTCACTACTACCAGTATCTGCCAACCATTTTCATGAGAGAAAAGCTAAACACGAGCCTGGGAGCCATGACACTTGCACTGATGGTCATGTACCAGTTCAGGTCATGGATCTTATTCTTAAACATAAGCAGCACAGTAAATTTTAAAAATAAAAAGCAGAAGTCAGTCACTTGGGAATTGTGTGTTACTGAGGTCTGGTACAAAAGGGTAAAGTACAACGCAGACAGCGCAGCGATGGCAGTGTGAGACAGAAATTCCTGTGTTCTAATCTGTGACTTAGATCTCGTTCCTCCTCCTTTGAGAAAGAGCATTTATTCACATGCCCTTCGACTTCCCAAGGGAAACAACACACACAGCAAAACCCCAGAAATGACACTGCAAACCACCTTGGCGTATGGGAATCAGTGCCTGCAGTGTTAAATGTCAAGGCTCCTCATTTCATCCCTGATTGTTTTGATAGCTCGCCCCCCAGCCCCCGACGGCCTGCTCCTGCTTCCCAGATGCCAGGAGCCTCCAGTGTTCATTGCTGAATCACCAAGCACAGCAAGCTCTTTGCTCGGTGCTGTCAACAGAGGGACAACTGACAACTAGGCAAATTCCAAGAGTCTGTATTAAAAAAAAAAAAGACCCAAAAGGGCAGAAAAGCAAAAGGGACTGTGCTGGTTTTAGCCTATGCCCTGAATGTGGCCATATAAACTGCTGGAAGTTAAACTCAGGTGTGAATTTACAGCACACTGTGTACGACACATTCCACTCTTAACTGTTCACATATACATTTTTACCTGCAAAAGAGTGCACTCAAAAGGCCAAGCTGCCTGGAATCTATTTATAGGTTACAGAGGGGACAATCACCATACAGGAGCTGACATGTTAATCCCCGCTCTGAACGGACTGTGTGTAGACACATACTTTGTTGTCCATTATAGATGCGTCGCCCAAAGCCATGTGAAATTTCCCTGTCCACAAAGCTGAATCATCCTTACGGATGGCATGGATACCATGAGATCTCTCACTGCTTATGGGCTAGCTAACACACTGCAGTGATAAAGGCCAGACAAAACCGAGTTAGGTTCCCTTCTCGTAACTGTGTGGTGGTCCTTTTTAAAGGAAAGCCGTTTCCATTTCCAGGCAAAGCTGACAAACCGCGCAGCGTGCAATTTCTACGCATTATGGAAATGTGACGTCGACGTTTAAATTTAGCTTCCATGGGCACGAACTAGACAGCAGTGTTAGCGCGTGGCAAACGGCAAGTGCTGAGACAAAAGAGTTCCATTACATCAGGTGACCCTACAAGCACATAGCTGAAACACACGGAGAGGTGAAGCAGAAGACGCAGCACACTGACGCGGTGACAGAGAGGTAAGGAGTAAAGCTAACCCTTACTGTTATTGGTGCTGTTGCCATTAAAAGACCCAGCCACGCTGCTACTGTCCTTCTCTTTGTCTTGATTCTCAAAGTCCATGTTAAGAGACCTGCAGGAAACAAAGCAGACTTAACAGGCAAGTTTCAGGCTCCCGTTGAGGCTCCTCAGCTGTGGTCTCACTGCCCTTCCACCACAGCACCCTCTCCCTGAGAATAACAACTCTGATTATTAGAAAAAACACCATACACTGCAAAAAAAACTAATGCTTATGGTTACGGGTGAGGCACCAAATCACACAGGTTCTGATGGTGAGACCAGTCGCCCGCGTCTGAACGGGTAAGTGTTAACACGAAACCGCAGCAACAAAGATAAACATCTGCATTACGGGGAAGTGTGGAACATGATGGAAATGCAATAAACGTTTCAATTCTCTGATGTATTTGAACTCTTTCCAAGTTCTCATTTTGATCCTTTTCATTCAAATTTAGCTACTGGGTTTCAGCTTTAAAACAGAATTATCTCCTTCCTCTAAATCTTGTTATGGCTGATGACCAAAACCAGCTTATAGGCACTTGTCTGCTGGATGTAGGGTCCTACTTAACTGAAGACATTTCAGCAAAGCCTAGAAACTAACGAGATACATATTTTAGATACACATAGAAGAGATGAGGAGAGGAAGCTCTGAATAAATAGTACAAACCGATACAGCTTACTTCATCCATAGGAGCCGACAACATTTCCCTGTGTACCCAGCTCAGCTCTAATTGAGTCTTTTCGTTTTCATATATACACTTAAAAAAATCCCCAAATAACACAGTCTTCTACACGTTTTGCTACAGGCTTTGGCTTTGATGCAACTTCTAAATGATAGCCTAACAAATTTTGGCATAACTCTGTGAAACAGGCAAATTTCATTTAAGGTCCATTTGGGGCAGCAATCGTTTCTAGCATTAAATTCTAGGTTGTTTTATACAAAAATACTAACAGTCCAGGTTACCATGATAGCTTCTCATTCTGATAAATGCATGGTATCCATGACTTAGCTGCAGATTTGTTTATTCAAGCAAGCTACAGAGAACCTGTCTTAAGACTGCAGCAGCATCAAATACCAAGTATTTCATTAAGAGTTCCAGGTCAACGAGCATTAAACTCCTTTTGAAGTTGAACTGTGAGTAATCGTACAAGCAAAGGAAACAAGTTTTATTCATTTGCCAGACAAGTAAAACATGCGCCACAATCTCCTACGCAATTCCATAGGTATCCAAGTTGTTTTGTTTTAGTGTGCGGGTTACCCACTGCAGGGCGCAGGGAGCAGCTCGTGCTGCAGGCACACAGCCTGAACCCAAGCACACAGAGGTCTCCAGGACCACGGCGGATGTGGTGCGTTAAAGAAAGAGGGGTTGAGCAGTTCCACTGTATAAAACAAAACCAAAGCAAGGCTCCTCCGGCCTAAACCAGGCTTGATTCTTCTGCTTCTGTAATGCAAGGGCTCCTAAACAGTGGTATGAAGTTAAAGCAGCTTTTGGGCTCAGGCAAAATATGAGGAAGCTTCAGCCTCAAACACAGAGCATTTCTACCCAGACTGAGGATCATCAACTACAACGTTATCAAAAGTACAAAGAAGCAAGGCAGACCACTAAAATCCTAACAAATTAACCTGCTCTTCTTAGCTCGTTCTCCTTGATCCTCCTGCTCTGTCTCTTGTCTGGAGTGCCTTCATCCTTCATTCACACTTTCTTTTTCCCCATTAATGCACTGTAGCCTCATAATTTTCCTCTCGAGCTAAAAAAAATCCAGGAGGAGGCTGACAACCCTCCAGGACTCGATCCAAGATTCAGCCAAACAAGTTAATTCTTTTCAGAGCAGCGTTTCATTCCTCTCCAAAATAGCACAGTTTCGCCAGAACTTCACACCATCATTTTCTCCGTGGCATCGGGCACCTCATAACGCAAAGAAAACTGGAACGAAACTATGAGATCTACTTCTCGTGAGTAACTTCAGCCCTTTCCCTTCTGTTGCAATCGTGTCAGCAATTATTAGGTTATTACCTATAAACATCCCTACCTCAAATGTAAGCAGAGATTAGGAAGTTACTTTCACTTAGCAACACAACTGCTCCAAGATCCAAGACAACGTCTGAATAATCTCCAGCCGTTTTACGATTTGGCCCTTCCCTCTGCTACAGATTATCACTAACATAATTAAAAAAAATGAGAAGTGATCCCTAAAACATCCTCTAACAAAGTTAAAAATTATATTGTGAAACAAGATATGCTCAGAACTACTGGACTGTGAAACAATCGCAAACTGAGAAACATTTGCTTTTTTGTTCGGTTTCTGCTGGTTTCTAAAGGCAACGTTCAGCCAGCACCTTCCATCGGGCTACAAACCGCACGGCTGTTCTGCTGGGGGTCCTCGCGGTTCAAGCCGGTAGGATTTCCAGCGCAGTGTTTCAAAGGAGGCACGGCTCAGCCTCCCACGGGGAACCACTCGCTAGGGTTACGCTGAGGCCAGAGGAATGAGTAAGCTGCTGGCACGTTATTATCAGGAAAGTTCAGATTCAGCTATGGATCACTTGCACTGCAGCAATGCTTCAGGGAAACCCTGCAGAATATTCTTATGAAACAATGGAAGAAATATGAAAGCAAGTGTGTCTCTGCAGCGCTGCTTGCAGATGAAACATATTGAGAAGTTCTCTCTTGCTCTGCTCAGCGAGGACAGTCACCCATTTTAACAGCTCTGGGACTGGGAGACTTGTGGGTTGCCACAGAATTGCCAGATTTCAATCGCTCTAAATACAAATTGCAAATCAGAATCAGTCATTGAGCTGACGCAGCTTAATTCAATCAAATCTCAACGCCTATTACAGAGGGAGCGCCTAAAATACGCTGTGTGCTCTGACATCGCTACAGTCGCTTATAAAACATTCCTGCGAGACCGCAGGACGAGTTCCAATGCAAGATCCAGAGTGGGAATAGGAATAGGGGAAACAATGGCAGAAAGCGCACACAGAAGCGTTTTCTCTGCCTGCATGGAGTAAGAGTGCCCGAATCCCGCGTCTCTGATCAGGGTATCTCACTTTCAGCAGGTATTCTACGTGCACCCCCTCGTGTGCCCACATGCAGACAACCTCCGCAGCAGTCGGTGAGGTCTGGCCAAACCCCTGGTTCCACCCTGCCAGCGCTGCCCCGCAGATGCTTACGAATTCCAAGCGTAGCCTTTCTACTTGTTATTGTGAAATACCTATTGCGATTTCTGTAAACATCAAGTTGTAAAGCCAACCCTGAGGACACCATCTGAGCTACTTTCTATTTACACACACACCTTAGGTTCCCAAAAACTAGAGATACCAGACACCACTTTCCTCCCACGCTTCTCGGTTTGGTTTAAAAGCAGATACTTGAACAGGTAGATTCTGGGTTAAATCTGGCTTTGCATAAGCTGAGAGACCATGTGTGGATATGTGATAGGATAGAAAAAAATTCAGCTGCCTGCAAAGTAACCCCAACATCTCAATTACAGAGAAGCACCTGGGCAAGAATAGTGGGCGGTCTTGCAAGAGCCCACAGGAGACAACCCGCTCCAAGCTGAGCTCAACTCTCAAAACCCCGTAACTAACACATACACTTGCATCTCCAGTGTACAGCTTGTAACGGTTTAAAGGATTACACTTGGCCCTTGGCAGTCAGTAATAAAGTATATCAAGTTCAAGGACCGAGGGACAGTCAGAATGTCATGGAGAGACGTTCAGAAGGGTTCGAAGCAAAAATCCCTGGCTCAGCACAACTGTAGGAAGGAAACGCTCCTTCATCCACAGTAAGAGAACCAGGCACCCAACCCTGTAAACCGTACGTCGTTCTGGATGTGTGCTTTACCCACCATCTATCAGACATTCTTCTGAATATCCTGGGGGTTTGGGGTTTTGTTTGTTTGTTCTGGTTTCGGACAAACGCTGCTTCGTTCCCCTTCATTCTCCTGCATTAGATCAGATCCACCACGCACGTGGATTTTATCCTTGTGACTCACCCACCCAATTCTTTCTGATCCTATTACTGCGCTTCTGTTTAAGTCACTTGCCAGCCATACCACAGTAACTCTATTTGCTGCTTCTCAGACTGAAAATCAGAAGCAAACCCCATTTCTGCCACACGAGGGTTAACTCAGGAGTGCCGTTTGCTTCCTGTCTTGCGACAGCTCCCTTGGAGACCAAGATGGAGACACCACTGTTGGCACTGGAGAACAAGCACCCCAAGCTGTAACGTTTGCCTCTCCAAGTCACTCTTCTAAGAAAACCCACCCACTTCACCAGAAGTTTTTGTTTTACCACTTTAGGAATTTCCAGATGAATATAATTTTGCAACTTACTACCACACCTGAATTTCTTAAAGAACTTCACTGTATCTTAGACACACTGTATCTTAGATTTTCTGTAAAAACCTGCTTTTGACCTCACTTGCTGAGCAAACAAAACAGGAATTTGTCCAAGTCACCACCATAACAGTGGGTTTCAGTTTTCATCGCCTCTAGATTTTGTCTTCCTAAAACCTCTATTTTCATTTCATCAGCAGTGCAGTCACCTAATACTCGCCAGCAACGAGACACAGCTCCTATCAAAAACTGGCTCTTTCATTATATGATTTTATCAACTTACGAAGGCAATTTAAAAAACCTAACCCTCACAGCTGTGACTTAACATCATATGTATGACCAGAGCTACCACCTATTTCGGGAAGGCTCATCACAGACTTCACAGTGAATGTGTGTCCCTTCAGCACGGGCTTGTTAAAAGAAGCAATGTTCTTCAAGAAACGGCAAGAAAATCATGCTGTACTTAAGTTTGAAAAAAACATAATACTTTCGTGCTGTGGTTAATTTTTTTTATATGGCAGTATGAATCTCATGGCTTAGGCGCCACTATGTGAAAACAAACGGTGTAATACGAGATGTAAGTCTAAAGGGGCAACACTCTAAACTATTCTCGAGTCTCCTGAAGTGGGGCAAATTTGGTTTTTGAAGATTTATACTAATCCTGCAGCAGTTTTCAGACACTTTGCTGGAATTCACCTCCAGTGTTTTCAAACTACTGGAACTCAAACTGCGTTTCCCACTTCTCTACTAAGCTGTTACTCGCACCCAGTAAACAGCACCGGGACTCAGGAATGTGTTTTACAGGACACGCTGGCAATCACAACAAGGACATGCTGAATTGACCAATACTGAAACATAATATATAAAATTCTACTGCCAATAACTTTCCTATCTGTCTCGACAATCCTTTTATACCCTCCAAAACACAATTTCAAAGGCTGTCTTCACGGACTAACTTCGAAGTTATCCTCTATGTGCTTGTAACATGACATACAATTATGTCGTTCAGAAACCCCAAGTTGCTACTTTTTCTTCCCTTCCAAATCCAAGCAGCAGTGCATTGCCATCAGCCATCACTCTGACAAAGGTACAGTGAAACAAAAGGCATAAACTGCATTCAGTCACTTGCCGTATTTTAATTTGAAAAATTCTGCAGAACCTTAAAGAAAAATCTTACCTGAAACTGCCGTAGACTATGAGAAGAATAGAAATCAGGAAGGTCGACACTTGACTGGAATCCACAAGGGAATATGCCCTGGAATTGGGAAAAAGAAGGCAGGTGTGTCATCACGGGTGTCCATTGCTCCAGTGCCATTTGCTAATTCTTATTATAATACAAGTAGAGAATTAGATGGCGAATCTTTATGGCAGCTCTCTCCAAAGTTCTTGTGTCATCTAGGAATATCAAACCTGCACATTAACTTCCTACATCCAAGACTGCAGCATCCAAAAGTCCGTACAACCATCGAAGGTCAGTTCAAAAGCCTCGTGGCAACTTGTTCTGAACATGGCGTGAAGATTATGTTTCCTCAAACACATCAAAATTGCTTCAATGGCAACTAACACAACCTGGCACGTACGTAACGCTAACTCTTTTTCTGCAAGACTTCTCATGCCTCAGCTGCCAATAGGTAAGTTGCAATAGGGCAGTCGAGGTTCACTCAGTCCAGGAAAACAAGAGACAAATGCCCAAACCTCACAACAAGCTGCAGGATGCGTTTATTAAGCCACACAGTGTGATTTCCCTATACACCTCGCACACCACTGGATACAGGAGTCCCGACAGAAGTTTCAGCAGGGGGCTTAGAGCTCAGCTTTATGTGGATCAATTTCCTGATACAACAGACCTTTGTGTTTATAGCACAGAAATAGATATATTCACCATTTTTCCCCTACCCTTCACAGACCAAACCCTACTCTGTAGCTTACGCCGATGCAACTTCACCTGGGTAATGGGAGAGGCAGCTCCGTGAGCTCCCAGCGGACAGCCTGCTGGGGAGAGTGTGGCTGACATACTACAGGTCAGAAAAACCTTCAAGAAGGACCCTGAGGAAGATGACAGCTCGCAGGTCAGGAGAGATGATCACTCCCTCTATGCAGCACTTGTGTACCTCGACTCCTGCCTACAGTTCTGGGGGGCCCAAAAGGAGGAAAACACGCTGATGGTTTAGTTGTTGCTAAGCAATGTTTACAATAAGCCAAGACTTGTTGAGTTTCCCATACTGCCCCTGTTCTCTCCGCTCGTTGTAGAGAACATGGGGGTACAACATGTGATGAGAGGGCCTGGGAGTCGCACCACAGCTCCCAACAGTTTTTCATCAACTTGTACTGAAGTAATGGAAAAGGAAAAAAATAATGGCCAGTGTTCATTGCATTAGTCTTATCCTACAAAAAAGATAACTACACATTTCTAAACACCAACCGAAAAGCCTAATTTCAGCAAGATTATGGATATGGAACAAAGATAATTGAATTACACGATAGCTCCAAATTAAATATCACTAAGCAAATAAAAACTGAAGATACAATACAGTTAAAGAATCATTCATCCCATTCCCAATTTAAAAGTAATTTAGAGAAAATTACCAAACCACTAGACACACTCTTAATATTTTTTTTTTAATATATAAACACAAATGTGCACCTTCTACTATAGCAATTCAATATTAAACCTCATTGGAAAGCAGAATGCCTCTTTTAGATGAAATTATATACTTGTGGAATAAGCTTTTAACAAACGAGAAACTACTTTTGTTAATTATCATAAATAACTCCAATATCACCCCACACTAAAAGTGGAAAGCAGATGTCTTATTTGCTCATGAAGTTGGCCAACACATAAAGATGATCTTAAGCTTGACATATATCGATATTTTTAAATGTCAGTCATGTCTGACCTTTAGTTTCCAGGCTGTGGACAAGAGGTCTTAGAAGCATCAACATACTGAATTGCAAATACGTGCAATACACAACCAAGAACTTCCAATTTGTATATATGTATCTGCTATTCAGGTTATATACAATATAGGTCATAGCATATTGGTTTTGGCCAATCATTACAGATAAGCAGACACAGAGCAGAAATGAGGATGAGCACACTGGTTATGTCCTGTTACTAGCTTCAATTTCAGGGAGAAGCATCCCCTCACCCAACCCTGAGTGAAGGGAAACTTAGCATCCTGTTTGGTTTTGAAGATAAATAGTGGAATTAATCTATTAAAAGGATCTACAGGAACTCCGTATTTCTAAGAAAAGCAAAATGATTGAATGGAATTTCAACTGGGATTAAACACGCCCAGGGTTATGCACTACACTTTATTAACTGATGTTCATAAAATTACATCTTCATAAATTGGCAAACACTTTTGAGATGAACAGTGTTTTTGCTATAATTCATCATTCAGTGGCGACTTTGGAAGCCATGATAATTAAAATGCTTTTTACTAAATATTAGTCAAAGCAAGGCTGTAAATGTTAGGATTCATAAAATAAATAAGGATGATACACGGATCACGGATCAGCCCTGTGCATAATCCATTAAGTTTTGTATTAAAAACTGAAGGTCACCTGGTACAACGAAAGACGCTGAACACGTGCAAACGCATTATGAACAATGATCTACCGTACCATGACCCTACTGATAGGCTGCAGTGATGATTAGGACAACTTCCTGCTAATTCAATGCAAGGGAGAACCGAGAACCGCAGTCCTTCATCCCGCCCAAGGAAAGCGCCATAGGGGAATTGCAAACTCACTGCTGACCAGTGACATTTCCCGACTCCTCCGCACAGAGATCTGTTAGCAGGGTGTCCTAAAACCTCGGCGTTGGTACCACGAGTGTGGTCTGGGAAAACTCCTGTTCACTGATACCCCAGCAAACAGGGCCAGGGAGATACATTCACACTTCCCTTCCTCCTGAGGCAACGGCCAAAGCGATGCAGAACGACAAGGCTACGAGCAACCGCGCGGCGGGAGTCGAGTGAGCGGCGCAGGCGTGTCCAGATTCCACCCGAACCTTCCAACACAAGTAGCCCACAAGCAAACTTCAAGAATAACTTTCCAATACTGAAGTGAATCTCACTGTAATCAAACGCTGCCTCTTTAACATCTAATTTCCCTGCATTACATAGGGTATTGCACAAAAACTGAAAGCAGAACTGACTCCTGAAATCCTAACCGCTGGACAGTTCATGAAGAAACTAAAATCCCTGGATCCCAAATAAACACTTTCTAATGCATGAATCTAGACTGGAGATAATAAGCAAATGACAGCATCACATGAAAGAATCAAGAAGTAAAATTAATTCAAAGTTTTGAGCATTATTCAAAACGCCAGACAGTGATCTACAAACCCATCTGTATTTTTAGCTGAAATTTAAATGACTGTCTACAAGTCCAACAGAGCCCATATGCACATAACTGGGTTCTCCTCTAAGCACACTTCAAGTACGTGAGTTCGCACACTCCCCCAGTCAAACATGGCATCGGTGCTGTGTGCTCCTCCATGGGATCAGCCAAAACAAAAACCCACACGCATTTCAGGAGCTGGAGCAGACTTCGTGCAGTCACATTTAACCAGCTGTCCTTCCACTGCACAGAGAGAAACTAAACCACCTTCCCTCCACACGGTTCTTTTGTAAAAGTAGGTATTTCACCTCAGAACGTATAGTGGAAACTTATGTGCAGAAAACGCCTGTAACAAACCTGTGCGTAGCTCTCCTTTGACTTAAATACCAATTCTGGAAGCAATTCCTAGTACCTATTACATGACAATCCATGGAAAACAGATCATTACTCTTTATTCTCGTTCTGAACATCAATACTGGATATGGCCCTGCTAAACCCTGCTGTCTTCTGGAGGACTGACTTGAGTGCAGTTCACCTGCACGCCACGTGACAAGAACAACTACCGACCCGCTTCTGAACTCTAGTATATATATGCAGAGCATACGTACTCGAGTATACATGCTCAAAATACAAAGACACCATTGGTTTTCCTAGAGATGTACGTTTTTTAGGATTCTTACACTACCACACCTGAAATTCAACACCCATGTAATGAAGTTGGTTTAGAAGTTATTTAACCAGACTATCAGACAGATTCTTGCTAACTCAGTCAAGTAACAAATAACTAATTATAGTTATTACACTGTATTAGGCCCAAGCTCCTTTCCTCAGCCAGCTACTGAGGGGTAACTTCCCAAACACCTTCCCTACCACTCGAAATCTCACTCTGAACCTGCATCTTTACACAGCTGAGAAGCAAATTCTCTGCCATCAGGCCTCTGTGTCTGGCAGCATCATGGGCAAGTGCTTACGACACAGAGCCTGCTGCGGCATGCCAAGGCAGAGACACAGCAAGCACTGTTCTATAACATACCCTGTGTGTCAGCCCGGCAGCTATACAGTGAAAGTATTGTCCAGACAACAATCCAAGCAGCGAGCTCTCCAGCCTGGCACAGACTGCTCCATAGACCTTTACCTACAGAACAATTCCAGGGATGCCCAGCCACTGCGCCACGCCACCACGTCCACCCGTCCCAAACAGTAACCGTGCAGATCGGCCACACCAGCCACAGCTGGTGTTCCCAGCAGCACTCTCCCTTCTTCTGGGAACAAATGAATAACTTCTGTATTCCCAAGGGAACAGAGACCCACTTCATTCCCAGCGAGAGAAGACGGTAACCAGCTCATCAAAGCTGCAACAACAGCTCTAGCGTTACGTTAGAGACACTTGCAAGCTCTCTTTTCCCTGTATTAGTAGCTGCAGGTCAAGCTCTTTTCCCTTGTTGCCACAGGTCCGAGCTCATCTTTGTGAATCTTCACCTCACAGGGTCTCTGCCTGCTTAGGAACTTCTTACAAAACCCCCTCTTCTAGCCCTACTATTCTACTTACTTATTTCTTAATTCCTCTGGGTTTGTTATTTCTTTTCCACTTCCAACTCAAGAAAAACCCCCAGTCAACGTAAGCACCGTTTTTCATGGTTAGGTCTTCCTGATCCCCACAAGATAAGCAGCTTCCTGATAAGTCTCCACAGCCCTTCCCAATCAGCAGGAGTCCCCTACGCAAAGCCTGGTTCTTCTTTTTGCCCTCTGTGTTGAGCAATAACTATTTGCAACTCACTTTGTTCAGTGAAGACCCAGGGAAAGGCAGAACTAGGAATCAAACGTGTCTCCTGATGAGAGCGTGGAGCATTACCCTCTACAGAACCCACTTGTTAGGGGCCAGTCTGATGTGACCACGAGCCAATGCTG